GGGGTAAATCCTCAGGAGGGCAACTGGTTACAGGAGTTGGTTATTAAAAGGTTATGGGCAGAGGTGAGTTTGTTACAGACAGAGCCGACCTTCCAAAGGGCACAGGAAAAGGAGAGAAGAGGTATAGAAACTAAATTGTGTGGATTGTGGCTGCTGTCAGAGGATGGGGGGTTCTGGGTGTGTTGGTCAAAGTTAAAAGTTAAGTCATAGAGGCCTGGGAATTGGGTATATATTACCAGACATTAAGAGAAGCAGAAGGGTAAGGGAGGTAATACACTAATTGTGTGGTTTATTTGAAGGGACATGCGCCAGTGTCCTGGAGGCTTTCTTAGCATGTGGGTTCAGAATTAGCAGAGGCTGATGAGTACAGAAATAAGGAGAGGACAGGAGTCAGGGTCAATGATAGAAGCTGGGCTGCCTTAGATGAAGTGCAATACTTTATCCAAGATGAAAGTGGCCAGTGTCACCCCTGCACTTGCTACCCCTGCCTGAGCTTCTCCATAAAGTCAGTCTAAATTTTTTACTGAGATGGGTGGGGGTAGTACTTGTCAATTAACCAATTAGGATTTCATAAGGGACACATGGCTAGCAGACTTCTCACACCAAAGCCAGACTACAAGAGAGCAGAAGGGCAGAGTTGTAAAGATTAATGCACGCCATAAATGGGTCGAAAATCGGCCGATTTTTCGGCCGAAAATAAAAATCGGCCGATTTTCGGATCGTTAGCGGGCTAAATGTTCGGCTGTTTTTCTGTATTTTGGCAGATTTTTTTTATCGGTAAAGTTGGAAAAAAATCGGCCGATTTTGCCGATCGGCTGATTTTCGCGGCAATGATGGGCAAATCAGCCGATCTTTTACCGATAAAAAAATCTGCGCATGAGCAGTGACCTGCAAGAGGAAGACAAAAAGAAGAAGAAAAAAGAAGAGGATGAAGAAGAGGAAGAAGGAGGAAGAAGAAAAAGAAGGAAGACGAAGAAGGATGAAGAAGAGGATGAGGAAGAAGAGGATGAAGAAGAGGATGAAGAAGAGGATGAAGAAGAGGATGAAGAAGAGGATGAAGGAGAAGAGGAAGAGGAAGAAGAAGAAGAGGATGAAGAAGAAGAAGAGGATGAAGGAGAAGAGGAAGAAGAGGATGAAGAAGAAGAGGATGAAGAAGAAGAGGGAAGATGAAGAAGAGGATGGAGAAGATGAAGAAGAGGATGGAGAAGATGAAGAAGAGGAAGAAGAAGAAGAGGATGAAGCAGAAGAGGAATTCCAGTCCGGCAAAAAGTGTCCCTGCAGAGAGCTCCGCTATTTCTTTGACAGTTCCTTGACATTTATAGTGGTTGCAACAATGTATCTATTTGTATCCATTTAGGATACAGATGTTTTTATTTGGAAACAAATAGATACATTGTTGCAACCATCTGTATCCTAAATGGATACAAATAGATACATTGTTGCAACCACTATAAATGTCAAGGAACTGTCAAAGAAATAGCGGAGCTCTCTGCAGGGACACTTTTTGCCGGCTCTAGACGGGATGAAAATCGGCTGATTTTTTTTACTGTTGCTGGTAACATCGCCCGCTTGAACGACCGATTTTTCATTTTTTTAAAAGAAAAATGGGCCGATTTTCGACCCGTCTATGGCCTGCATTAGATCAGCTCATAAATTAGGTGAGACAATAATAAAGCACAATAATATGGACATGGTTATAGATGAGTCTAAGTGAGGTGGATGCTGAAAGCACCATAGGTGAAAGAAGAGATATTCAGATGATGCATCTTGGATAAAGATCTTGGATAAAGATTAATACTTTATCCAAGATGACTTTATAAAGGATTAATACTTTATCCAAGATGACAGTTTTCAGTGACACCCCTACCTGTGCTACCCCTACCATTTACTTGGCTATCCAGGGCTTAGGTGGGGGGGGGGGGGGGCGACTATATCCTCTGCTCCTGCCAAAACTGGAAGGTTAATCTTGATGACCATTTAATAGGTTCATCGGTACAGCAAATAATCTCTTCCCAGTGAACCCACATTCTCTAAGAGATTGGACTTTCAGAATTAATTCACTAAGCCTTGATAACTGAATGTAAAAAAAAATAAATTATTATTTAAATCAATACTAAATGGTGTATTTTATAATTTGCTGAGAGTTCACTTTTCACTGGAATGTTCTTCTTGTCCCAGGTGATGTTCCCTACAGAAAGTCAGCTGAGATCAATAGCTGCCAACCTATTTCCAGAGTAAATGACATCCATCCTCAATAAAAATAGGAGTTGGCCTTCATGTATTCATGGCTCCACCACTGTAGTCCTCTGATGTAATCAACCAGAGGTGTAGGTAATTATAATCGCTGCCTCATGCTGTCGTACTCCGCCCAGAGGAAGCTGACGGGTCAAGAATCATGGGTCATGTATGCAGGGCTACTGTTAGAAACCACAGGGCCCCATACAGCCACCCCCCCCCCCCAAAAAAAAAGCACAGTTTACTATGTTTCAGTTCTGAATGAACACAGTGAGTGATCAGTGTCTATCACTCATTGTGTTCATTCAGGAAAGGAAGAGGCTGGTAAATGTGACATACAGTGTTTACCAGACCCTTCCCCCACTCTCCATCCTGAAGAATTGTATTGTGTGCTTGCAGCTGCCGATGGGAAGGAGAGGAGGGAAGCCAGCAGCACTGCAGGGGCGCTGGAAATGTATGGTGGGAGGGTGGTGGGGCAATTACTGAAACCAATCCCCTGTATGGCTCCCTCTGCAGCAGCTGAATCCCAGTTGGAGGGAGAGGAGAAGAAGCCAGCTTTCAGTTGCTGCAGAGAGAGCCGTACAGGGGATCAGTTCCAGTAATTGTCCCCCTGCCATGTCCATCACCCTCTCTGCCCACATCCAATTCACCCAGCTGTATGGGCTGCCCTGCTGGCATGGGCCCTGTACAGGAGGACTGGTGGTACCCTCTTATCCACAGCCTTGAATGTATGTAAAACAACAAAACAATACAATGTGCAGGGAAAGGAACTAGGAATTGGGCTTTAAATAAATGGTTCTATCCTGGTAGGATGCCACTGTATCATCAACAGGGAGCCTGTTGTTCCTTACTGGTGTATTGCATACATGGGGCCCCTCCACTAACGATATTAGAGATTTTTTTATTGTTTGGAAATTTCCTCCGAATTGTATTTACTGAGCATTGCAGCATTGGCCTACAACAGCATGTGTGAAGGTATTATATTTATCTGCAGTGAGGGTGAAGATTCACAAACAAAAAAATCGATTAACATCCCTGTCTAATCAATATTATTCTTTATGTGTACAGAAGTGCACTGCCCCAAGCACTAAAAAAAATAACTACATTTATTATGTACTCATCTCCCAAATTGTGTACCCATTAGGCATGGTGTGACGCTAAGATTAATACATTTTCACAGTTTCCATCGAATTGTAAACACTGGTAGAACAAAAGCCTAGAGCCAGCAATGTAATCAGAGAGATTCCAATCTTCTCATAATGAAAAATGTAACCAGAGGAATTGTGGGCATGCTATTGAGGGTTTCATTTTTTTTACATATCTTTTTTTATGCTAAGCAGAAAAAAAAGCTCCCTGGTTACAGATTTACAGAGATGTAGCTTTTAACTCATTGACCCTGGTGCAAGAAGAAAGCCTTCTGCCAACCCCACCCCAACATCCAACAATCACAAGACACATATCCCACAAGTACAACACTTCCAAAATGATGCACCTAACATCCTTATAAACACAGCACGTCATATCTAAATGACTATTTTTTTACATTCTTCTTGCTATGTTGTAGACCTGATGAAAAGGGAGATGTGTGACCCCAATTCATGTTGACTTTAATACCTAAGTAATGTTTGGAGTAAAATCTTGCTTTGAATTCAGACATTTCGAAGTGGTGTTTTGATGAAATATTTTGCAAACTCCAAGTGGGCTTTCATGTGTTTTGCACTGAGGAGAGGCTTTCATCTAGCGACTCTGCCATAAACCCCAGAATGGTGGAGGGCTGCAGTGATGGTTGCCCTTCTTGAACTTTGTTCAATCTCCACACAGGATCTCTGGAGATTGGACAAAGTCGGGTTCTTGGTCACCTCACCTCACTTACTAAGGTCCTTCTCCCCGATTGTTCAGTTTGTCCAGGCAACCAGATCTGGGAAGTCCTGGTTGTGCCAAATTTCCTCCATTTGAGAATTATGGAGACCACTGTGCTCTTGAGAACCTTCAGTGCAGATACATTTTTTTTTTGTAGCCTTCCCCAAATCTGTGCCTTGCAATAATACGGTCTCTGAGCTCTGCAGGCAGTTCCTTTGACCTCATGGCTTTTGATACAGTATGCATAGTCAGCTGTGAGGCCCTTTATAGAGAGGTGTGTGCCTTTCCAAATCATGTCCAATCAATTTAATTTACCGCAGGTGGAATCCAATCATTGTGTAGAAAGATCTCAGCAACGATCAAGAGAAATGGGTGGCACCTGAGCTAAGTTTCAAAAGTTGTCGTTTTTGTCATTTGTCATTATTGACAAAATTTGTCATTATTGGGCTTAGATTAATGAGAAAAAAATGAGTTTAACCACTTGCCTACAGGGAACTTTTACCCCCTTCCTGCCCAGGCCAATTTTCAGCTTTCAGCGCTGTCACACTTTGAATGACAATTACGTGGTCATGCAACACTGTACCCATATGAAATTTTTATCATTTTTGAGACAGATACAGCTTTTTTTTGGTGGTATTTAATCACCTCTGGGTTTTTTTATTTTTTGCTAAACAAACCAAAAACAACTGAAAATTTTGAAAAAAAAACAAACTTTTTTTCTTAGTTTTTGTTATAAAATTTTGTAAATAAGTGATTTTTCTCCTACACTGATGTGCGCTAATGAGGCTGCAGTGATGGGCTCTGATAGGCTGCACTGATGGGGACTGATGAGGTGGCACTGGTAGGTGGCACTGATGGGCATTGACAGGCATCACTGATGGGCACTGAAAGGCAGCACTCATATGGCACTGATAGGCAGCACTGATAGGTGGCACTGATAGGCGGCACTGACTGGCACTGTTAGGTGGCACTGATAGGCAGCACTGTTAGGTGGCACTGATAGGCAGCACTGGTGCGTACTGATAGGTGGCACTAACTGGCACTGATAGGCGGCACTGACTGGCACTGATAGGTGGCACTGACTGGCACTGATAGGTGGCACTGATTGGCAGCACTGATAGGTGGCACTGACTGGCACTGATAGGTGACACTGAAAAGCAGCTCAGATGGGCACTGATATGTGGCATTGATCTGCACTGGTAGGCGCTGATATGTGGCATTGATGTGGCACTGATGGGCACTGGCAGGTGGCATTGATGAGCACTGACAGGTGGCACTGCTGGGGCTACACTGATCATCAGGGCATACTGATCATTATCAGATGTCCCCTCTGAGGAATGCCGATTACTTTCTCTCCTCTCCTTACAAGCTGTCAGCGTGACAGCTTGTGAGGAGAGAAATGCCGATAACCAGCATTTCCCTATTTATATGCGATCAGCTGTGATTGGACACAGCTGATCACATGACCGAGCCGACATCTTTGGCTCTTTCCGTTGATCGGTGATCCGCTGTGTCCTAGGGACACAGCGCACTGCCGATCGCCACGCTGCACGCCCCCGAAGCCGTGCATGTGCGGTTAGAGTGGGAGGACATCATATGACGTCCTCCCAGAACAAGAGAACCGCCTTGCGCCCGTCATTTCATTATATGGCGGGTGGGAGATGGTTAAACAACTGTAGTATCAGACTGCAACATAACAAAATTGAAGGGGGTCAAAATACTTTCTGAATGCACTGTATGTTTAGACCTGGCATCTGCGTGGAAACTTGGCATAGGCTGGAACTGGCAATAAAATTCCCAAACACTATTGGAAAAGGCCACAATGTGACTTAACCCCTAAATTAACCTGTACTAGGCCAATATAGGGAAAAGCAACAGGGTCACTCTAATGCTGCCTTCTGTAGCAGCTTATACTTTCCCTTCATTCCACTGTTACTTCATTCATCTATGGGAACAAAATAAAGAAGCTCGCTGTAAGTTGAAAGTAGAAATCTCCAGTGCTGGTTGCCTGAGCAGCCAATCACCAGGTACTGATTCTCATATAGGAAGAGGATAGGTGAGCCACAAGTTCCCCCATACCACAGTTGCAAACATTTAAAAAAAAAAATAATTCCGAAACACCGTTTTTTGCTATGTCTCCAGCAAGTCATTGTAGGTAGAGAATGTACTTTAATTAGTGAAATGGCATTCCTTTAACATGGGCACGGTTCTACAAGAGGCACACTGTTAACCGTTTGTAAAATTTAATTTTAAAATACTGTATATACAGGAAAATTTATCATAATAAGGACAGAAATGCAACTGTATTGTTCAATAGCAAAACAGTGATAAACACAAATTAGACCCCGTTCACACGGGGCGATTAGTTGCATGCCTTGTGCTTGGCTGTATGTTATGGCACGGTGCTGCATAGGTGTTGCGTGGAACCCCGTGATGGCAGTCCCATAGATGTACCCAGGTAGCAATTGGGTCCAACACATTGGGGCACAGCTGCATGTCCCAATAGACATCTATAGGACTGCTGACACTGAGATGCTTGCAACACCTGTGCACCTCTGTGCCAGTAAAAGATGGCCCTGCATGGGGCATTCAGCTAATCACCCCATGTGGAAGGGGTCTTACACTGCAAACACATTTGGCAGAATAGAAAACATCATTTGACACTGACATTTTTAATGAGAACTGAGATACCTGTTGTGGCTGCTGATGGGTAAAGGCATTGTATCATTTCAAATATTTATATAGTTTTAAATAGGTATTAGTATAGATATACTGCCTGTGCTGTTTGTTTGCCTTGATCTTGTAATAATAGGCTCACATGTTTGTGGTGCCATGGATGATAAGCTGTCCCTATTCACCAAAGAGACAAGACAACGTCTTGTTCTGGGTAACAAAGCATCTCTATAGATTGCTCTATTAAATTTCTGTGTCAGATCTATTTATTATGTAACTGTCATTTGCACTAGCACTAGACTGGGAGAGCCGGGGATTGTGGGATATGTAGTTTTTTTCACTTGTAATGTCAGTTCTCAGACTACAGACAGAATTCATGCTCTAGTCTGTGCAGTGTGCCACACTGAATGTTTCATGTTTCTACACAAAGAGAAACCACTGACACAGGAATGTGAAGATTTACTTCTTTACTGGCAACAAATGACACCATGAAACGACATGATCAAAGCAAATCCTATGCAGCTGAAAAACAGAAGATACAGGTAGGATTGTTTACAATTCCCTTAAAGCTTTCTGCAGGTAGCAAAAACCCTGTGTAATAAAAGCAGTCACCCAGCTTAAGGCTAGTTTGACACTTGTGTGGGTGGTTCCTGCTGCAGGTCCGCACCTGTTCCAGCAGCCGCAACCACCCACACAGAACAATGCAGGAGATGAGTGTGAATGCCATGAATTCTAATGGCACCAGCACACACTGAAAATCGCAGCAGCCGCTTCCTGCACTAAGAACCGCACTGCATTTGTGGTTTCTGTGAAGGCTGCTATTTCAAAAATGATATAGGGACCTTATCCCTGCATTTTCAGGAGCACAGCAGTTGCTTCAAAGGAAGAGGCTGCAGTGCCCATGCAAAATGCAGGTCACAGAGCCGCAGTTGTTTGAACCAGGGCTAATATAATGTACAACATACAGTATACAGTGCAGGGGTCAGGGCAATAATGTACAATATTGTGCATATAGTGCAGTGGTGTCAGGGATACCACAGTCATCCAGCAAGGGTGATCAGATCAGTGGGCTGTACCTTGAGGAATCAGGAACCAGGCTGAATAAGGTTAAAATGAGTTTATTAAGACAAATGACACACTGCCAACACCAGTAAAGCATAAACAATGCAAGTGAAAAATAAACACAAAACCCCAAATCAAACCTAACTAATTACAGTATATATAAAATGGAGGGAACACACATGAACAAGACAAGGTCAGGACAGGGACAGGAGACCAGGGGAGCAGGGAGCCAGGTACTGGGAGCTGGAAGCAGGATACAGGGAGCAGGTCTCAGGGTCAGGTTCAAGGATCAGACTCAGGCAGGGACACGGCTTGCAGGAATAAGGCAAGGTTCACTTATGTGCGGATGGTGCTGCTGCGGGATCCGCACGAAAATCCATGCAGCTGCACCACCCGCAGAGAGGAATGCGGACCCGTGGGTGGGTGCCATTAGTTCTAATGGCACGCCACCTGCACTGGAAAACACAACCGTACTGGGAACCGGGGCTGCTTTTTCAGAAGAAATGCAGGGACTTCTTCCATGGGTGTCACGGGGCACGGGAGTCCATTCAAATGAATGGGCTCTTGTGCCCGTGCAAAATGCAGCCCGCACATATGTGAAGCACTGAACCTCAATTATGGGCAGCCTTAACCACTTCCCTGCCGCCCTATAGCACAAATACTGCTACAGGGCATCAGGGCTGCACAAAATCACGTATATATACGTGATTTTGTATTTTCGGGTAGGGGGCCATTGGCGGCTACAGCTGTCAATCCCCGAGTCCTGGTCGGAGATTCCACGCCGGCACCCGGCGATCGCCGACTATCACTGATGGGGAGAGGTCTGTATGTAAATAATACAGTTCTTTCCCCTGTCAGCTCCAGCACACTGCTTTGTATTGTTCAGCATGCCTCCCTGGTAAACACAGCACACAGTAAAGCACACACAGTTAACCCTTTGATCGCCCCTCATGGTAACCCCTTCCTTCCCATTAGTACAGTGTCAGTGCTTTTTATTAGCACTGATCACTGTATTAGTGTCACTGGGGATGTCAGTGACAGTTATTCAGTTCCCCCCCAGTTTCAGAATACCCGCCGCAGTCCCGCTATAAGTCGCTGATCGCTTCCATTACTAGTATATAAAAAAAATTCCAGTATATATTCCGCCATTTGTAAACACTATAACTTTCATGTAAACCAATTAATTTACACGTATTGGGATTTTTTTTTAGTAATGACATGTAGCAGAATACATTTTTGGACTAAATTTATGACGAAATTTGATTTAACTTTTTTATTGGATATGTTTTATAGCAAAAAGTCAAAAATATTGTTTTTTTTTCTTGAAAATTGTTGGCATTTTTTTGTTTATAGCGCAAAAAATAAAAAATGCACAGGCGATCAAATACCACAGAAAGAAAACTCCACTTGTGGGGAAAAAAGGACATAAATTTAATTTGGGTGCAGCATTGCATGACCGTGCAATTGTCCGTTAAAGTAACGCAGCGCCGTATTGCAAAAAATGGCCTGGTTAGGAAGGGGGGTAAATCCTCAGGAGGGCAAGTGGTTAAATACCTCCCAGCAGCCTATGCCAGATGTAGCCCAATTACTTGGAAAGCCTGGCTGCTGAGAGACACCTGCTGGAACTGCACCCTTCCACTCCAGGAACAACAGTGCCACCAGCAGCTGGCCCAGGTAATGACACAACTCCTGACAAGTGGTAAGGTGTATAATTTACAACATATCATATACAGTGTAGGGGTCAGGCATATAATGTAAAACAATGCATTTACAATGCAGGGATCAGAATTTTACTGTAAAACATAGTGTATACAGTGTAAGGGGGTAGAAGTATAATGTACAACGTTGGTTATACAGAGCAGAAGTCAGGAGTATAAAGTACAACATAGTGTTTGCAGTGCAGAAGTCAGGAGTATAATGTACAACATTGCGCATAAAGTGCAGTGGTCATGAGTGTAATGTACAACAATGTGTATACAGTGCAGTGGTCATGAGCATAATCTACAATTTAGCATACAGAGTGCAGTTGTCAGGAGTAAAATGCACAAAAAAGTGTATACATAGAAGGATTATGTAAGATACAGAGCTGGGTACAGAGTGCAGTGGTCAGTAATATTGTACCTATACTGCTAGTCAGTGGGGGGTATATATGCAATCAAGTTGGTATAAGGGAGTGGAGTAACAGACCCCTCTAGAGGATCCTCCGTGCCTGGGTGTCAGTGTGGATACAGAGCGTGAGTGAACAACATTTCACCTCTTGTTCTCAGCTCTTTCAATGCTTCCTCTCCAGCATCAGACTAGGAGCCACTTTCTTCCCCTAAGGAAGAACTGTCTCCCCCCCAACACACCAAAACACACCAAATGAGCTCTGGGATTTGCATATAAATGAGCTGCAGCTGATGTGCAAGGGAGCAGGTCTAATGTGAAGGGGAGGGCTCTGGTGTTCCAGAGGGGACTCTGATGTGCAAGGGAGGGTCACTAATGTAAAGGATGATTCTGATATGATGGAAGCTCTGATGTAAAAGGAGTTCTGATGTGTGA